ATTGACCCTTATCTTTGCCGTTGAAAATAGTCTGAACTATTACTCGACCAGTCTGAAACAGTCTTAACCCATTCTCGACCTGTACTCGACCAATTTTTTCAGTCTAAACCATACTCGACCAAAGGTCTGAACAATACTCGACCAGTCTGAACCATACTTGACCAAAAAACCTATACTTTTTTTTATTTAGCTGTTAAAATTAATTTCTTTTTTTTCTGACATGACAACAGCCACAATAAAATAAAGATATATATAAAAACATATTTTTACATCCTTACATGATTCTCAGATTTATCAAATAGAGATAGTTAAATTAAATTATCTTATATAATAATTTAATTATATTAATTTTAAAGTTTTAGAGTTTTGTTAAAAAAAAGATTTTCTTTTAACTAAAAACCACACCTTTACTGAGGGTAATAAAACCTTATCAAGGTGCTTCTTGTTTGGTATGTGTTATTTTTTTTTTTTTTTTTAAACTTAATTTTCCTAAATTCCTAAAGAAAAACTATATAGGTTTCATGGTTACATACAATAGTTATATAATTATCTTTTTAATGAGGTAACAACAGACAAAAAATCACTGAAATTGTTTAATCTTATATTAGAAATATATCTATTCTTATTATAATTTGGGATATATTTTATATAATATATATCAAAAAGGGATAAAAAAAATAAAGAAATAGATAAAATGTTTCTTCTGATTAGTGGTAAAGTATAAAGTAATACCTCCTGCTTGGGGCAAACTCATTAAAAAGATCACACCTGTCAGAGAGTATTAATTTCATATTAACATTCATTAAAAATTGAAACATCCTGTGAATCTTAAATCGCAAGGCCTTTTGAATTCACTAGATAAGTAATACACGAGTTTAAGAAAAAAAGGGCTTTCTTTTTACCTGTAAAACACATATGTTCTGAGGTAAATAAACCTTATTAAAGTGCTTCTTGTATGCCATGTCTTTAATTTTGACAAAAGTTATTTAAATTTAATTGAAATAAATTTTTTCTGCAACTTTGGAACACATTTCCTTTTTTAAATGGTTATCAAGGATTGCTATGGAAGTTCTATTATCATGATTATATAAAATTCTTGATTTTTCAAAACAAAGGTGTGATTTTTAAAATTTATTAAGTTGCTTTATATACTATTTTAAATATATTTTAATAAAAAAAATGTTCACTGCATTATTAACTAAACTCAACTGACACCATAAATCTATACAAGGCTTAAGTAAATGGTGAAAATTGTCCAGTAACCATAAAATATATCTGAAACATTCAAAAAAATTTGAATAACATTGAAAATATTAGTCACAATTCAGTTTTGAGATTATTTGATCAGCTTATTTTATTTTTATTTTAAAGGTGATATATATATATATGTAAGTGTTGATAAATATGGTGTTGAATTTATGTTATGTTTATTGTGAAATTTTGGTTTCAATGCCATATTGAATACATTTTAAATTTCAAATTGTTGTTCAAATTTCTAGCCAGGGGAAATAGCTGTTAAAAACAGTTCCTAAATTGATGAAATACAATAGATAGATACAAAAATTAGGTCTAGGTTGGTTAAGACTTAGTCGAGTATGGTTCAGACTGGTCGAGTATGGTTCAGACTAGGTCGAGTATGGTTCAGACTAGGTCGAGCATGGTTCAGACTAGGTCGAGCATGGTTCAGACGAAAATAAAATGGTTAAGTACTGGTCGAGTAAAGGTCGAGTACAAGTTCAGACTGTTAAGTATGGTTCAGACTACAGTCGAGTATTATCAAGTAAATTTCAGACCAATTCAGACTGGTCGAGTAAAAATCAGTACAGTCGAGTACAAATATAGGCCATTTCAGACTTTCCTGGTTTGTAGTGTATGTTATCTCGAGGCCTAAAGTTTGGAAAGATAAATACAGATCTTTAGTTTTCAGTGTAAAATTTAGTTGACTGTTTGTCTTTTGTTTTATTTTATCCAAGCTGATGTCATTCTTTCTTAGACTTATGATTGTACTTTTCTTTTTTTTTGGTATTTGAACATTTCTCTTTGCTTTGTTATATCCATAGCTACAGTTTCATATTTAGATATTCCCTAAACACTTCGTTAGCAGCATTCGTTAAGGTTAAAGACTTCTCTCTCCCATAAATCATTAATTTATTTCAATCGCAATTGCTCGTATTGATATTTCAATATTAATTGTTCTGGACACAAGCATTTAAGTTTAGTTGTGTCCATGTTTGACCTCAAAAAGTCAAATCAAGAGAATTGAAGAAACTTTGGAGAATATTCATTAAAGGACAGTTTAATGGATGCTTTATATGCCTTTTCAAGTATTAATGGAAATACCACCATACTGTACCCGGAGCTGCGTTGTACGGTGCTGATTAAACAAACAGCCTGTAGCCTCACGAAAACAATCTTTAATGTAAGATTTTCGCCCAACCAAACGAAATGCATGAAATGGTATTTCCCTCAGTATTAACGAATATTACCGGACTACAGAATAATTTTATATATTTACAGCACTGAAGCCAGAAATAACTAGAAAAAGAAAGATTTGTACATTTCTGAGTGTTGTTTTTGTTTTATTCGAGCCGAAATACAAATCAACTGTTTGTGTTACAGAGTACACAAATTATCACATAAAGCGTTCACTGACAAAAAAGAATAAGTTCAACACATGGTATTTCCTAAACATGAGAAAAAGATAGGTTCTGTGAAATTATGATCCCCTAGTATGTATCTATAAAAAAACTTAGACCACAGTACTGAAAACTCACAGTTTTTGTTCGTGTCTGTACGATTAAGAGGTTGACATATAGTATTTATGGACACCTGTATATTGCTGAAGACTTTTAAATATTGCCCTCTAGATGACTTTTGGTTATCTGTGTTGTTGTCTCTTTATCTTATACCCCATACTTCATTTAGTCAATGACATATTTATCAAATGTATCTATGCATACGGAAAAGGTATTAGTATTAGTTTTAACCACAATATGAGTTAAACTATCATGTGTGTCATTTGTATCCAACAAACAAACAAATCACACGAGTTCTGCGCAGAAAACTCTCTACTGCATGGTAATTTCAAACCTTATAGAATCAAAACTATAATATTGTTATATACAGAAATCTGATTAAATATGTATGACTGGTATGAAGCATCACATACAAACACTCATTCTGTTCCTCCATATCTTAAAATTGTACAATTTTAAAGAGACAAAGATTCAATTAGTGTATCGGTTTTTAGCTTGTAGCTCGTAATCAGGCATAAAATAGTTTGTTAGTTTTTAGAAATAATAATTACGTGTAAAAGCCATTTAAAGGCATTAGTTCAAAAATTCTGAAAAGGAAATTGTTTTTGTAATAGAACAAAATGTGATTGAATATTTCGATCTTTTCCTGACGAAGACGTATATGCCAATATCTGTCAAAAAATTTAAAGCTTTATATGATGTAATCTGTCAAGGTAACTGATTTAGTATTTGTTTTTGTTAATTGGAATAAAGTCGACCTCATAATTTGTGTTTAAATAAAGATCGTTGATGAAATCGTTTTGATCAAATGATAAAACTCTTAGGTTTAGGATTTAGTTTCGCTTTACATGTTATAGACTTGTTGGTACAGGTAATTGCTATGGAATTATTATAAGCTCTAAGCGCTATCATACTTTTCAATTCTAGGGATAACATGTAACGAATTTTTATCTGTAACAATAAACTTCGATTTCATCTTTTGAGAACTTTTAGAACATTCAGTTAGAAATAATGCAATGTCAGACATGAATGTGTTTGAGATTTGATCACACAAAGCGAACTAGTCTAAGAGGTCCCTAGAAGCTAATGCTTCCATGCATGATGCCAAATTTTCTTCTTTTTTTGCCCAATGGTTAATGCTGCAACAGTTCAGCGTGGCGCTCATGTTTAAAGTGGCAATTGTCATCGACCATAATTCTTAAAATTGATCATCTGATTAGGGTACATCGTTTCCCAATGACCCTTTTAAATGATTTATAACAAGTCTTTCTTAAGTTGTCCGCATATAAATTTATAAATTATGAGAAACTGAGGTTTCAACTCCCTCAGGCAAAGCTGACATCCGATTTAGCTCTTTAGTTAGGTCCTTTTTGTTCATTTAGCTTTTCAACTGTTTTAGTTTTTACACATCCTTGGCTTTCAAATATTCGGCTTTGAGCGTTCATGATGACGGTAAATCCAGAAAAGCGCTTCGGACGCATGTAATTCATATAGTGTTGTTTCCATTTTTTGCATGTTGTGGCTTTTGAGATTTTTAAATTGATTGGTTGGTCCCTTTTTTACCTGTCAATAATAGTAACGACCATGTTTTATTATGCCGAAGTTATAATTATAAATCGTAAGGTGATAATTGTCCACATTTTCTCAAAGTTTATCCAACTTAATGACCTTTGTAGCATTTTGCAGTATTATTTAACAGAATTTTTTAAAATTTACATTTAATATTTATTTTCAAACACCTGAAATTTTGCTTGAACAATAGAAATGTCGAATGTAAAAGAGAGGCAGGCGAAAGATACCAAACGGACATTTAAACTCATAAGTTGAAAGTAGACAGACAATGCCATGGTTAAAAAAGAAACAGACAAACAGACAAACGATAATACACAAAACACAACATAGAAAACTAAAGACTTATTGCTAATGCATTCCTTACTGGTTATTAAACTGAATTGTTCTTTACGATATTATTTACTTTTCTTTAAACATTGTGTAGATTAATGATTTATAGCAGGATAAAATTGCTCCCCTTGTCAACACGTTTCCTGGAATTAGTTCTACAATTTTTCACATTGGCGACTTTTACACTTTTATCCCAAAGATATTCTTTATGTATTTTTTAAGGTAGTACCAGCATTCAAAGATACAATGTAAAAATTACAATATGAAATATTTTGGTAAAATCAGTGTAGAATTTGAAAAAGACAATCCTTATAATTTTTGAGACATTTGGGTTTTTTTCAGTATTTTGCGACGACGTTAACATCACTGGATTAATGGACACATTGTTTGAAAATTACCACAAAGATGTTCGACCGTTATGTGATAGTGGGTCTGCAGTAAAAGTGAAAGTTGGAATGGCTCTTCGCCAAGTCATCGATCTCGTAAGTAAACATCTCGTTGATTGTGTTTCAACACTTCACAATTGCCAAATTCATTGTTGCAAAAATTATCAGTTTTCAACCATCTTCGTGGACTTGAAAATATGATATACAATATAATTTGCCATCTTTGAACGCCTGAAAAGATTCCAAGATTCTTATTTAGATCAGTAGAGTAAAATACAATTACTCAAAGAATTATCTCATAAGAATCTTTGACAAACGAGACGATTTCGATTATGAAATTATAAATTGTCCTCACCTTAGCAGCAATATACCAACTTCACCCGCGTATGGAGTAAACATTTTTCAACTTATACGTTATTCAAGCGTCCTGATGAGCGATTCGGACACAATAGGAGTTTTTCACAGTGTTGTTTCCATTTTGTTTACCCTTGTATTTATATTTTCTTTAATTTGTACTTTATCGAGAAGGTGTGTGGTATATACGGTATGTACTACCAACTACAAAAATATTTCTATCGGCGTTTTTTGTCGTTGTACTATCTACAAAAACGTTTTTGTTGGCGTCTTTGTCAATTTTTTTGTTGTATGTTTATTTGAAAGTTTTAGTCAATTGTCATGTATGATTACACAATATTGCATGCTGGATCTCAATTATTGTCACATTTACTTATTATGTCTGTTTGGGTTGCCCATCCAATTTTGTCAATATAACGGAACTATACACAACTGTCATACAAGAGGGAGGTTAAACTGGCTATAAAACCAGGTTTAACCCACCATTTTCTTCGGAAATTACCTGTACCAAGTCAGGAATTCGACATTTGTTTTATTAGTGGTTCCGTTGATTGATATTGTTTGGTTTTGTCAGTTTTATGGAATTCATCTTTTTTTAATTAACCTCGGAGTTTGGTATTTTTGTTATTTTCTTTTTATCTTAGCAGAGAGAACACAATAAACAAAACAACGAGAAAAACGTGCTCCTTATTTTATTACCATTACCGACACTGAATGAATGACGTGACCTGTTGTTTTAGGGTACCCTACTTTCAATAATAAAGAGGAATATACGAGTTGCGCACACATGGAAGATATCCTATTTTCTATCAGCAAAGGTCTTTTGTATAAACCATTTAAATAGTTTTGAATAAAACTTGGATTAAACTTTCGAGACTACTCGGGTTTTTTTTACATCTCACAGTATATAAAGTTTAATAATTGTTAAGTAAAAAGTCGTAAAATTAAAGTAAATCTATTGTTGATAGTACTATCAATACCTTTCATGAGATCTGAAAAAAAAATTTTCACTTAAAAACATGTTAACATCAACTATTTAAACGTATACGTTATTTTCGGATATTATAAGTAATTCCCTTTATAAAAACTAAGCGATCTGTTTCACTTAGTGACTTTAAGTATAAATAAAATGACCTTATGCATTGTTTAAAGTAACCTTATGTATTGACCATTAAGATGAATGCCCAATATAGTACAAAATACGAAGCTTGGACAATTATAATGGTAATTTCATACAATTCTTTCACAGCAAATTTTATATTAATTGTAAAGTAAAGCATACTAAGAATATAGTTAAAAGAAAATGTTATTACTCTATTAGCGAGTGTATCTACGAACGTAGATACAAGTATCTTGTCTTGGGGAGGGATAAATCCTACTTTGTAAAGAATCACTCTGATTCAAACAAAAAATTCTCTGAAACTGACATTATCAAGATGCTTGATTTCTTGATTGACAACATATTTGTTACGTTTGGAGGACGTGTTTTTCAACAGACTGTCGGAATTCCAATGGGAACCAATTGTGCCCCTCTTCTTGCCGACTTGTTTCTTTATTATTATGAGGCTGACTTCATACAGGAGCTTCTTAGGAAGAGAGATAAGAAGTTAGCAATATCCTTTAACTCTACGTTCCGCTATATAGATGATGTTCTCTCACTAAATAATACAAAATTTGGTGACTATGTTGAACGAATCTATCCCATCGAACTAGAGATAAAGGATACTACAGATACAGTTAAGTCTGCCTCATATCTTGACTTACATCTAGAAATTGACAATGAGGGTCGGTTGAAAACAAAACTTTACGACAAAAGAGATGATTTCAGCTTCCCAATTGTGAACTTTCCATTTCTATGTAGCAACATTCCAGTAGCGCCTGCATACGGAGTATATATCTCCCAATTGATACGATATTCCCGGGCTTGTGTTTCCTATCATGATTTCCTAGATAGAGGATTGCTGCTCACAAGGAAGCTATTAAATCAAGAGTTCCAAATGGTGAAGTTGAAGTCATCCCTTCGTAAATTTTACGGACGCCATCACGAGTTGGTTGACCGTTATGGAATAACCGTTTCACAGATGATATCGGATATGTTCCTTATGTCGTAACTACAATACCCTTCCCTTTTCACGAATGTGACTTACCGAATTAGACTATTTACCGGATTTGTAATAACATAAGCAACTCGACGGGTGCCACATGTGGAGCAGGATCTGCTTACCCTTCCGGAGCACCTGAGATCACCCCCAGTTTTTGGTGGGGTTCGTGTTGCTTAGTCTTTAGTTTTCTATGTTGTGTCATCTGTACTATTATTTGTCTGTTTGTCTTTTTATTTTTGGCCATGACGTTGTCAGTTTGTTTTCGATCTATGAGTTTGACTGTCCCTCTGGTATCTTTCGTCCCTCTTTTAAAGAATAGATAATTAATTGATCTATTGGCAAAGGGAATCAAATAGGATGATTGTTTCATGTACAATGTGTTGCTTTTACTGATTTACTAACTTAAGCCAACACAGTTATAAGGATAAGCGACTGAAATCGACACTAAACAAGTTTTACAGTTACCATTACAAGTTGGTTGACCGATACGGTGTGTCGATGTTTCAACTCACAAGTGGGATGTTTTGCAGTTTTAGATCTTTAGAGACCAGTATACTTATATGATCTAGAATTTTACGGATTGTAACGTATTCCCAATTGTGAAATTTCAATTGTGTGTGGGTTCGCATGGCGGATGATGTATGTCTGATATGAGACGCTTATCATGTCAACGTATCCGGGTCTCATTCTTTTTGTAGTTCATGCGATTCCCTCGGTTTTTATTTACTACCGTAATTTGTCTCGATTTACGATATCTGAACATCAATAAAATACTGTCGCTTTTATTTTATGTATCAAATGTTCCTGAAAATCCTTTACGTACCTGTTCTTACCTTTCAATAGAAAATCAGTTAATACATGTACTAATTGAAAACACCAACTACGATTAAATAGGGCTTCATACGAGGCAAAGAGGAAAATTTGAAAAACAAATGACACTGTGAGCCAACTAATACTGTCGCTTTTATTTTATGTATCAAATGTTCCTGAAAATCCTTTACGTACCTGTTCTTACCTTTCAATAGAAAATCAGTTAATACATGTACTAATTGAAAACACCAACTACGATTAAATAGGGCTTCATACGAGGCAAAGAGGAAAATTTGAAAAACAAATGACACTGTGAGCCAACTAATTCTGATTTGGCCTAAGATATTTCAACTATGTGTATTTTGTTAACTATATAAAAAGTGAACATTCACCATTCAAAATATCGGAAGCTTGAGTAATAAATGCATATGACACTGTTTTAGACTATCTCCGACAAAGGCGTGATAGATGCTATTTGAGCGATACAGACTACTTTGAACTTGAAGATATAATACTATTTTAGAAAAAATAGAATTTTTGAAATCAACGAATCATGTGTATACACAATATATTGCTTTCACTGGCAGGACTTCTCAGCACTCATTTGTTTTTATTTTCATTTGACTAAATTTATTTTTTGCTGATTGTTCAATCGATATGTAATGCATTGTAGAATCTGTAATATGTTGAGTTATCTTTGAATCTATCTGCTTGAGGCGTGTTCAAAGTGTGAATATAATATTCTTGGACCTACCAAACGGATAAAATAACAAAAAAGTCATTCCAAAAGTGCTTAAAATGAAAAAATCAATTAATTATATTTTGTAATTAAGTCACTATTTAATATGCTTTTTAAATTGGATTGATCTATTAAAAGATGAAATTCATTAGTGTAAAATACGGGTCAAAACCACATTGATCAGACAGCGTTGTTCTTTTTCAAACTGGAGGTTTATTTAGAATACCGTTTTAATATATAGAAATATCCGAGTAAACCATGTTTAAAAACTCCAGTAAAAATCAGGTTTATAAATATAATAATAATACCTTGGTTCTTTCTATCAAAGTAGTAAGTATGTTGATCTCATTTATAATATGACAATATTCTTATTTTCAATATGTTTTTTTCAAATTTATCTTTAAGGTTTCACAAATAAAAATGTTAAACATTTTTGTAGAAAATAAGTACGTAAAGTGTTGAAAAGTTGCTGGAAAAACATGTTGTAACATGTATAAAGATAACAGCAAATATTAAAAAAGATATTATAGAATCAATAAAACAAATTATAATGCACTTAATTCATAAAATAAATTATTATGCATTTGTCTAGCTTAGTTTGCATGTGTAATGTTTGTACAATCGGCTTAACAATCTTAATGAGAAGTTGACTGCACAAAAAAGATATCATATTAAGTTGCTGAAAAATAAAATAAAAGTTTGCAAATTCCGGAATATAGAAATTAATTATTAATTTAAAAGTACAAATCTTCAATTATGTCAAACAGTTCTTGATATTCAAGATATGACTCGTAAACGAAGGAGTTAATCACCTCAAACTTTCCCTATGAAAAATGTAATGCTAAAATAATGGCTTACTTCCTAACATCAGAAAAATATGGAAAGTAATTTCCATATCAGAAATCATTTAATTCCCAAAGTCTTATTTATTCCGAGAAAATTGTAGTTTCGTCCCAAAATTCTCATTCATATTTATTAAAAGTGCCGTTTATTTTTTTTTTATTTTTTTTTCTTTGGTCACTTTGAATACAATTATCTTTTTAAGTTTACCTTTTTCAGAATGAACCACGTCAAATTTTGGAAATCAATGCTTGGATAAGATTGGTGAGTTAGTAGGATACTTGATAGTCCAATATTTCTATCATATACAAACATTTGATCGTATTGAAAAGTCTTTATTAAAAAACACAAAAAAACTGAACCAAGTACTTTGTAATCGCCAAATTAAACATGCTTGATTTTTGTTCAAGATCCTGATGGTAGTTTTCATCGATACTTGTATTCTATGTACTAAACTAATGAATCAGTTGAGGCAAACAGATCCTGACTGACTTGTTGCGACAATGGTTTTGTCCTCTCAATGAAGTAACATTTAGGGGGGAAACTTAATGTTAAGTTAAAGCTAATAGAAGAGCAATAATGTGGTCAATTGCGATATGTTTACATTTACATCATTCGCATTTGATGCAAATATATTGCCACTAAAAAAGGAATGTACACCATTGGAACAGATATATGTAACCCAGAAATTAAACGAAGTCGACTTTATGCAAGATTTATCAATTTTGAAACCGTTGCCTCTAAAGTTTTAATTTTGAATTTAATGTTTCGAATTCAGTCCGTTCAGTGATATCAATTCTGGAAATAACCCTACTGTTTTGCGAAAGAAGTTATACGACAATGAATGCTAACCCTGTTGCTTTTTATCTAAAATTTACAGACCAATTTAAGAAAGACTGTGCATCAAGATCCGTGTTAATATTTCTTTAGTTAAAATGCATTTTGAATTGTTCAATTTACACGACAATCTGTTGAACAATACACCGTATATGAATTATTCATATACATATTAAAACATTTACATAAATATTCTTTTTCTTCAAATTCTTATTTTTCTTACCTAACATTATATTTTATTGATTCACTTATCATTATCACCATATGAGTAAAGGGACATTGAAAAAAGTTGGACACATTCATTGTTTTAATTTTTTTAATTTTGGTTTTAGCGTTGGCACGACTGTGATTTGAAATGGAATGCGACTGAATTTGGAGCAGACAATATAATCATTCCTGTAAACCGGATATGGGTACCTGATATAACATTATACGATAAGTATGTTAAGTTAGAGTTTATAAAGGTGTAATCAAGTGGTAAAAGGGTGTTTTGAAGTTAACTGCACTTATTTCATTCTTTTTTGTTTTTTTTTATATATGTAAAGGAAGATAGACAGATATGATTTTGTCATGAATGAAAAGTTCATTACTTAAATATAAACCAGTTTGTCAAACACTTTGAATGAAAAATCTTTGTGAACGGTTTTTGTTCAATTACTATTCATGATATGAAGAGCCTTTAATACGGGTATCTTTGAACATCATAAATATAAAGTTTTAAGTACAAAATATTTGAACATGATCGATTATATTCATAGATTGTCCTTTTGCTAAACATTGCTGACTTTATCTTTTGGGTCTTTTGGTAAACAATTGTGGTATTGAATCTAATTAACTGCGATAAACACCAGGTTGTACATTTATTTTGAGAATCAAGTTACATTGATTAGATACAATTGAAATTGTTCTCATTGGTCCTCCTTCTAAAAAAAAGAGCAAAACACTATTTATAGAGCAATTAAGGTAAATTTTGATTTAATTACGGGCTATTATTATTAATAAGAAGTTGTATTTGGCTTTCTGTATCCTGCCTCTTTGAAAAGACTAGGATACAGTCAAAGACAATTACCGGTAAATTTTAAGGTGTTTAAAAAACGGTCGTAAATGTAATTAAAGAAACCAGCATTTATTGATATTTTTGCTTTTGCATATATTCTGTAAGTTACAGAGCAATATCAAATCTCAGTACTTTAGATCACAGTGTCCACTTTATACAATTCATTCCCTGTGCTTACATCGTATGTATAATGATGCAATATATAGATATGATGCAATTGCAATGAACTAGATAAAACACCATATGTTCTTTTTAATATATTCCCTTGATAAATTCATAACTTTCACACAAAGAACCAATGAATACCTATATAAATGATTTAAAAGGGACACACCTTTTGCTGATATGAAATACTTTAACTCTTGTAATTCAATACAATATGTATTGATACTATTTTTTCTCGTTTACTCGAACTTAAAAAGTAAGAAGACCGTCATTTAAACTGACCAGTTAATATTTCCAAAGGATTCATAATGATGTATAAATCTTTTATGTATCAAAATGCAGATTAAAAGTTCTGATTTAAAAATCTAAAACATCATACTGATATATTTTCCAACATTTTCATCTGTATGATTATATAAATTTCTCTTTTATTGGATTCCTCTTAGTGTTGGAGATCAGTTATCCGGTTTGAAGGATTACAGACCAGTTGTATCGAGTAATGGTGACATATCCTACAACTTTCCAACCGTCATTACAAGCATGTGTCCTGTTGATGTTACCTTCTTTCCTTTTGACACTCAAAATTGCCTGCTGAAATTTGGATCATGGGCTTATCATGGATATGAAGTAGATATCATTAATTTGTCAGATACAGGTGACATAAGTTCCTTTGTTCCAAGTGTAGAGTGGGCTGTTGTGGGCATACCCGCCATTCGACATGTTACACTATATGGATGTTGTCCAGAACCATACCCGGATGTGACATTCTATGTTGTTTTAGACCGAAAGCCACTGTTTTACATGATGAGTTTAATATTTCCTTGCATGTTAATAACAGCAGTTGCGTGTCTTGGATTCATGCTTCCACCGGATTCCGGAGAGAAAGTATCATTAGAAATAACTGTTCTCTTGTCATTGGCTGTATTTCTTCTTGTCGTGTCTGAGACAATGCCTCCTTCATCAGAAAATTTCCCGTATATTGGTGAGTCTACAACACTCTCATATGCTAAAACATTCTAAATTTTATTATTCATGCTTTAAAAAAAAACAAGAGAGAAGATATATATTCTTTATTCTGATAAACCGATGTCGATATAAAGGTACACAGAAGAACATAGACATTATACAATAATACAAAGGTACATATGTTTAGGAAACATGCAATAATGCAAAGGTACATATGTTGAGGAAACATGCAATAATACAAAGGTACATATGTTGAGGAAACATGCAATAATACAAATTTACATATGTTGAGAGGAAACATGCAATAATACAAAGGTACATATGTTGAGGAAATAAACCATCGATACAATAGAGATACATAAATATGTGTACATTAAAAATGTGAAGTGTATATTAAATGGAAGACCCAAGAATATGGGGGTGTAGGGAAAAGGTTAATTGAGAGAATCCACTTTATCGTTTACCGCAAGGTCAATCAAAAATCGTAAATCGAAGAAAAACAGACTAGTCCTAAATCAGTGGTTGTCATTTTTTGTGCATTTTTGTAAAATTTGTTTTTCGTAAATTGTTTTGTTATAAATTAGGCTGTTAGTGTTTCGTTTGGAATGTTTCACATTTTTCATGTCGGGACCTTTTACAGCCGACTATACAATATATGTTTTTCTCATTTTGAATACCGTATGGTGGCCTAAATTTGCTTTTTATCATTTCATTTTATCTCTGGTGTATAGTTGTCTCATTTATAATCATACCATATCGCCTCATTTTATAAATAAACCATGACAAAAAGTATAAAGTCTAAAAAACGAACAACACATTTCATTTTCCCAACAATACATAGCAAAACAATAGATTGAGCAGCACGAACTCCATCAAAATCCGTATGTGAACTTACTTGCTTCGATAGGGGAAACCGTTCAGAATCCACAAGTGGTATCCGTCGTGTTTCTCATGACAAGAAAAAATCCGGTATTAAATCATAATTTGTTATGTAGTATTCAACAATCAATGCGGGTTAATTTTACACCGTATAGGATATTTGGTTTGTGCTAAGCCCTATGTAATTCCATGGAACTCCGCCTCTTGTTTTTAATTTGCACAATAATGTTGAAAGTAATAATTTGTGTTCAGTCGACCTCCGTGTAGTACTTACATCTATAAATATGATTTGACGTTGATTTTGTTTTGTAGGAGTGTATTTTGCTTGTTCCATGCTGCTAGTATCGTTTTCCTGCCTGATGACAGTAATTGTTCTCAGCATGCATTACAAAGGAATACATGGAAGAGAGATGCCACAGATTGTTAAGACTATCTTCTTTGATTATATTGCTAAATTTGTGTGTATGACAACAGTTCGCCGCCGTGCTAGAAGATGTTCTATTCACCCCGTTTCGGTTTGTATATATAGATGTGCACTTGTTTTTGGGAAACACGACAATTCCATGTAAAATTTTAAAAAGAGGTGGTAGATACCAATGGGACATTCGAAACTCGAAAAGTCGAAGAGAAACTGACAACGCCATGGAAAAAAAACACCAAAAGACGACGGAAAGATAACATGTCAACAAATACTAAATAGAAAATTAAAAAATGAACAACACTAACCCAACAAAAATCAGTGGGTGATCCCATGTGCTTTGGAAGGGTAAGCGAATCCTACTCAACTAGTGAGAGCCGTCATGTTGCTCATGGTATGAATACATTCGGAAATTAGTATCGTAATTATGTCATTTTCACGGAAGAAATGCAAGTAAAGTCTGTATAAATATATATATCTAAATGTTTGGGGATATTTTCATACATTTTAAACATTCCTATGTAATCGTATATTACAATAAATATATTAATGATGAGTTCCACTTATCATCTTTAAAAAGACATTTAAAACCCGAAGCTAAATTATACATAAAAAGTGTTAAATAAAATACTTTCATTTCTTAAAATTTATAATTGATTTTGCAAGATGAAAAAGAAGACAAAATACATTTGAAAATAACTTTGCTTTCGTATTCATATTCTACATCAAATTTAAAATTAATAACTTTTAGGGAAATAAATTATTTTAAGATGAAGTAAATGAAATAAACCACGCACGAAGAACCGGATAAATACGCAATATGTCCAAGGAACAACCGTTGAGTTAAGGTTCCTTAACTTGACAGTTGCTGAGACGTCTTCAACGATAGAATTAAGAGCTTATGTATGATATTTTACCCAAAAAATCTCAATAAAGACCATGTCATCGACTAACGTTTTCTGTACATATATAATATATTATTTCCAGCCGCTGTATCAAACTGGACCTGTTTTCACCTATAGTAACGACGCATTTCTTCAAAACGGAATACCTAAATCAGAAACGAATGGAAAGGTTGACCCAAATGGACTAACCACTATGGTTGATGAATTAAATGCTGAAAATGCACAAAGAATGGACGATAATTACAATGAATCAGCTAACAGTGACATTATTATAACACTACAAAAACAATTACAAATCATTAAAAATATTGAAAAGAACTTACAAGAAAAGAAAAGAATAGACAGCATTATTGAGGAATGGCAACTTCTTGCTATTGTTTTGGACAGAGTGTTTCTCTTATTTTTCTTTTTGTTCATGACTGTTTCAACATTAGCAATTATACTGCGATCTGCACAAGTATAATTAAATGAAGTCTAAAAAGTCACATTTTAAATGTTAACTACAAAAACAAATTTCAATTAAGAAATGAAATGACCATTTAATGGCATTATATGACATCATTATTATCCAAATGAATGTTTTATTTATGCGTTGTATCAATGAATATAAGTTATTCAATATACATGATGTAGTAAATAACAAATAATTAATGCCTTTATAACTGGTTTTGGTAATGTCGTTGACATATTTCACCGCGCTATTTGTATTTAATATCATTCTTCAGTACGCTCAGGGGATTGGCGTGTCATTGATTTGTTTGTTCAAGATGTTTATTTCAATTTGCAATATTTGTTGATATAAAGTTAAATTTTTGGCCTGAACTAAAATTTCACTAAACTCTCTTTGCAAATTGTTTCTTTTTAGTTGTATCTGCAGGTTTTCTTATTGCTAATTTTACAAAGGCAAGTATAATGTGTTAATAGTTTGTCTAATCATCAAGATTATGAGAAGTAACGACTTTACTCATAACTGTACTAGTACTCAAGTCAGCGTTATGAATTTGTTGATCGTTTCATTAACTCTGTACCTCAACTCACTAGATAATACATGTCCACTGTCAATCTGACATTATTACCGTTTTATCAAGTTCCCGGCTTTAACACCTGCTATTTCATGTGTCTTTGAAATCGTGCGAGGGGCGATTCATGCAACACAGGAAATTTAACCCTGTTGATGGTTTATTTTAGGAAGGAATGTAAATTTCAACGATTTTCAAGAAACGTTAGACAAAATTAGTTCTATTTCACGTTTTTAAATGTCTAACTCCTTTGTACAGGCATATTTCTGGTTTTGTCCCTCTAAAAATAATGTCAATTTATATGTATGGGCAGCACGATGTGAATCTTCAGGATATATTTTTATTGATAATCAAAGTTGTTTTAATGTACATGAATGTATTTTATTTTATTAAAGTAATAATTTTGAACATCCAATGAGTATTCATTAAATATGTTTAAATTTGTAAAGTAAAATACAAAACCAGAAAGTTGGGTTTCATTTAATCGTCATCCAAATCATTGACAGAATTAATTAGGTTTCAATGTCATTGAAACATTTATTGTTTAATGTTAACTTTTACATTGTTCATGCGTAAGAAAAAATGTTTAATCATATTTACGACCAGATTTGAATAGATGTGTAGAAAATAATGAAGAACAGAACATGACTTCAAGGTAATATGCCAAATAAACGATTGATAGAGAGTTTTGTATCATCCTTGACACTGGAGCGTTGAACCAATTTGATTCGGACAGTCACTTAAAAACATTAAAATTTCCCATAAGTCTTTTTTTATTATTTGTATTGTTTATTGATATTTTAATTCAGATAATCAATATCTACTGAGTTTAAAACTCAATTTGAAGGTATTTTAATACGCAACTAATACAAAACAGCCAATGATCACTTCCGCCGGGAATCTGATCCTTTATTATCACGACATTATGTTGTTGATGGACATTTGAAATACTTCCATTTGCCAGTCCTCGAAAACTGGTACTCACTTGCGCAACACTTCATGTTCTCTAACAAGACATATATACAATATATTACACATAAAAGCATTACGAGAACACGTACCACATCTTTGTTAAGGATGTTGTTTACAGAAATAGCATTATATTTTAAAAGATATTTTTGTTTCCCTATTAATAATATTAAGTTATATGATAGAGGCAGCAAGATATGAATCATAAGGATCGCAGTTTTTTATATGTATAATACATTTGATTAATGACGGAAAAAAGCTCAATACTACTGATGCACCGTAATCAAAATAAGGTCAGGTTATTATGAGATTACTTGATGTTCATGTAGTTGACCGAATGCTGACAAACATTATTTTTGAGCTTGATCATTTGATATTGTAACCGTAATTGTTCATATATACTTTTAATTGTAATAAGGGTATGTAGGATTTGAATGCACAAATCTATACATGTCGCATTTCTTTCCTTTTTTTTCATATGTTTCCTCCAAAAATGCAGATGTAATAAAAAATTATAAATTTTTAAATTCAAAAGCTCAGGTACTTTTCACAGCGAATAAAAAGTAAAAGCTTTTTCTGGAAATATAACAAACAAGATGCATATGGCTTTTTAATCAAGATTTTGTATCCATTCCTTAACAAATTGTCTTTGTCTATATAGTTTATATTTTCATTACTGGTATTAAATAAAATAACCTTGTTTACTGATATATTTTGTTTATGCCTTTGATCAAATAGCATATTTTTCCTTAAATATTCAAAACCTTCGTATGAATGATAGTTAACTGTTCACCAGAAACTCTTTCTTTCTTTTACCTTAGGAATTTCATATATAAATGGTATAAACAAGGTTAAAATATGCTTCCATGAGGAGTGAATGATATCAGAGGCATTTGATATTGTATCGTCTAAGGAAGTTTTTATATTGTTTAAAGTAATTTGGAAACTATAGGATATATAGTACAGTGGCTGATAAAGATGTATACCGTTACTGATTTTGATGCATTTAATGTTGTTTTCTGGAATATATTACAACAGATTTGCTCAATACCGAAGGTTTGGTAAGCAAAATTGACCTGTCTTTATTTGGGGCATTAAATTCAAAACAGGTTCCGTTACTAGAATTGATTCACATGTGGGCATACATGTATATCCTTTCCAAAAATAACAAAGAATAACTTTTTCATGTTTTATATAACATAATACATTCTATTCATAACACTGGGTATTATATTGTTCTACAAATGTACCTCCCCATGATGAAAATTACTTTTACAAACATTCGATAAGTAAATATCAAATTTTCAAATCCCTTACTTCAGAATATCTTTCATATGCCTATAGAATAACTATACATTGTCTATGTCATGTCATGTGTACAAGGCTTAGAAACAGGTTCAATGCGAGGTTTTTCCAGCATTTCAATCCTATTTCGAGCCGTGTACAAATACAATTTATATTTCTAGACTAGATAAAATTGAGAATGGAAACGGGGAATGTATCAAAGAGACAACAACCGGGCCAAAGAGCAGAAAACAGCCCAAGGCCACCAATGGGTCTTCAACACAGCAAGAAAATCCCGCACCCGGAGGCGGGCTTCAGCTGGCCTCTAAACAAAAATGTGTACTAGTTCAGCGAAAATGGACGTCAAACTTAACTCCAAAACATATAAATGAACCAAAATTTAAAAAAAAACATACAAGACTAACAAAGGCCATAGGTTCCTGACTTGGGATAGGTGCAATGATGCGGCGGGATAAAACATGTTTTGTGAGTTGTCAACTCTCCCCCTATAGCTCTAGCCAATGTAGAATAAACAAATACACAGCAATACGCACAGTAAAACTCAGTTTAAAAGAAGTCCGAGTCCGATGTTAGGATAGGTAACAGAAGAAACTAAGCAAAATGACACTGATCAACATAAATTAACAAAGAACTATTAGAAGTTACTGACATGCCAGCTCCAGGCCTCAATTAAACTGAATGAAAGATTATATCTTCATCATATGAAAATCAAGCAGAATCCTTCCCGTTGGGTTTAGTATCATATCATCATAAAATATACGAGAAGAACATAACCCGTATCATGCCAACAACTGGTTTAAGAATAAATGTGTTTATTTCCGAAGCAAAGATACTATGAATGAATCATTTTTAATTCAAAAAAATGCAATCTTTAATTACCTGACAACAATATCGTAACTATATCCCTTCTCAATAAATCTGTTTAAAGGTTTGGTTAGCTTTTGGGGTGAATGACGACATTGTTGTGCTTTGTATAGAATATTACCATAAAAGATTGGATGTGAAATACCTGAACGTATAAGATGTCTGCACGTTGATTTGTATTTACGAATGGTGTCCTTGTACCGATGATAAAATTTAGTAAATGTTTTGACAAGTTTGTGATATCGAAAACCCTGATGTAATAATTTTTCAGTAATACAGATATTTTTTTCGTTAAAATCGGATACATTGTTACATACACGAGCGAATCGAACAAGTTGAGATATATAAACACCATAATATGGTGACAAGGGAACATCAGCATCTACAAATGGATATTTAATAATAGAAAATGAAAAATTATCTCTTTTATGGAAAATTTTGGTTTTAAGCTTCCAGTTAAAGATATAGACATCAAGATCCAGGAAAGGGCAGTGTTCATTGTTAGTATTGTTTTTTTTTAAGTCAGTTCAGCAGGATAAATAGGTATGGTTGTTCTCTTTATATTGCAACTATTAAAACTTTTCCAAATCAAAAGGTTTGTTTAAGAACCATAAATTTCGAAATTGAAGCGAATAAAGTAGATTCCGCAAACCTGTATTCTTTATTGCCGTCATAAATAAAACTTCTTGGAAACACATTATCATCGTCACAAACAAGGCGTTATACGACCAGTGACTTTATATCACAGATGAATGCACGGTCGGTGCAATATGGCTGCGCAAATAGCGCAGTACAAGTATACCCATCATTTAGAAGGTAAAGTCAATTCTTGTTTTCATTTGATCATCGATATTAAGCATGTGTTGATCATAATTTCATAATAAAGATATCTACCAATATATTGTTCGGTTATTCGCGTCATCATTATTTTTGTTGCTCAAACCTGTCAGTTTACGACAGCTGCAATTGATTAATCAATATAACTAAAATTTCCTCAAATAAAAAGTAAAGAATTAGATATTTGCTCACAATATCAAAATTACTTGAACCTGTTAAAAAACTAATTAGAGACACACCAACAATTAAACCTTAGCGGCTGTATCTAAGTGAAGTAGTAAGAATATTTACAAATTAAATTGATTACTTTAATATTTCGCTATTTTAGAATTTTCGAGTACATTAGGTTCATTTTCAGTACTCATGACTTTAATAACAGATAAACTTTCTTAAGCGAATATTTGATCAACTTAAAAGTCCAGTTTCCAATTACTGACTTTGATTTGATTTGTTTTGTTGTTGTATTTTTTTTTGGCAATGGAAATTAACACCAAGGTAGAACAACTGTATCTCCCGCATAATACACAATGTTCATGTCATTTGCTTTGTATAGACAGGGATGAATACAGTTTGTCCTACCCAGATGTTATTTCCATTTGCACAGATGTCTAAAATCGGAAACAAATAAACTATTGATTCAACTCATTTCTGTTCTCGGTTAACTTTATATCATTACTACACTGTCCTTTTCTGTAAAAGGCGAATTTTTCTTCTGTAAAACATCGAGGCACACATGATCATGCTAAATATTTTCAACTAAGCGATATCTTTAAAAAAATAATAGTCAATCAACATATGATGGTGTTCATAAATCTTTCGGAGGGATGACTTCAACATGACCTTTTGAAATCCTTGGTTTAATAGCTTAATTGTCAGCAACGACCATCCATCCATCAAGACAATAATGATAGGAAACGAAAGTTCTTGAATATATATTGACTGAGAGATATATATTCCACATGCAGGCGCTGATGAATACACTAGCAAACAATTTTTGATCTAACAGCTCTTAGATGACTGAACAATAAATGATTATGTCTTTTTCAGTCTTTCAGTCAATTTTCAAATTAATTTGCTGCGGTAAATTCATTACTGTTCAGACAATTCGTTTGTAGTCAATTAAGATCTGTTCCGACTATGTTAAGACTGTTCAGTAATAGTTATGTAAATGTTCAAATCAGCATCATACTTAACTGTCTGAAAAGATACTGAACAGTAGTGAATTGACAGCAAGCGAATTGTCTAAACAAATTGACTGAAAGACTGAACATGACTCAATAATGTTATGTTCAGACTTTTCAGATGGTGAAAAGATCAAAATGACAGTTTCAGACTAAGAAATTATAATTTCATAATTGAGAAGCTGAGAGCATCCATTGTGTTGTAAAGTATTGTTCTCAATCGACCCTCACTGTAAATTTTTCGAGGTAAGTTAAGATATGACGCAGACTAAATTGTCAAATGTTCATATATTTTTGTAATTTTGGGGCTATTGTCATCTTTTCAATTGAATATACTATAATGTTTTGAGTTAGTCCTGAAGTAAATGTAATGTCTTGTAAAATTTTCATTATTAATTGCATAAACGGCCTACAAAACAATATGTCATAGTTCTTCAAATGGGTGCAGTTTTTACATATTCTAATTTGCTTCGGTCTGCAGTGTCAGAATCTGCAGATGCATTGTGTTCACAGAATGATGCCATTTTCATGTGAACAGTTCAGACGATTTTGTTATTTGAACTCGTTATATATAAAAATGACGTTTGTTCCGACAGCAGAAACAAACTTCTTATTTCTTTGATTATACATATATTCATAACTTAGAGACTGATACAGACTGTAAAAATATATGAAAGTATTCAAAAGATCTGTAAATAAAGGCAACAGTAGTATACCGCTGTTCGAAACTCATAAATCGATAGAGATAAAAACAAATCCGGGTTACAAACCAAAACTGAGGGAAACGTATCAAATATAAGAGGAGAACAACGACACAACAAAAACACAGCATTAAAAATGTAACACACACAGAAACGAACTATAATATAACAATGGCCATTTTCCTGACTTGGTACAGGACATTTTAAGAAAAAAATGGTGGGTTGAACCTGGTTTTGTGGCATGCCAAACCTCCCGCTTTAATGGCAACGTCAAACACAACACCAAATCGACAACATCACATGACATGACCACAAAACAAATAAATGGGAGAACATATAGGACAAAGAAACACACGAATAATAGCTAACAAAAGGTACTAGGCTTAAAATTCAATACGCCAGACGTGCGTCTCGTCCACACAAGACCATCCAGTGACGCTCAGATGAAAAAAGCTTGAAAGCCAAAACAAGTACAAAGCCGAAGAGCACCGAGGACCAAAACTTCCAAAAAGTTGCGCCTAACACGGCCAGGGTTTTCTGCCTGGGACAAGAACATCCTTATTATTTAGAATAATTTATAATTTTGCATACAGTAAATTTTATAAAATGACTATATAATAGATATACATGATAAAACCGAAGTGGGGACTGTAACCGTATGAAAGTAACTTTGTGTTATGTTTTGTTCATTAAGTAAAATTGAGAATGAAAATGGGGAATGTGTCAAAGAGATAAAGGTCGTCTACAGTAGAACATATTCTTCAAAACCATACAGATAGTGAAAAGTACGAATGCTATGCTATGATGTACAATTTATGTT